TCATATCCTTTCAATATTTGGGTTTTCTTCGTTTTCACTACTATTACTTGTATACTGATCACGATTGAGTAAATCGGCACTCGATTCGTGTTCGCATCTTGAACCATAATCACCTTTTTATAATTAAAATTAAAATTTTAATATAATTTATATTAAAATTAAATTTCTTTTACCTTCATCTTACTTTAATCTGACTTAAATTTAAAATGAAATATTCAATAATTCAATAATATTGGGAAAAACAAACATAATATTTAAAACAATATTTATAAAATAAAAAATAATTTTTTTTTTGATATTATTATAAAATTTCTTGTTGTTTTATATTATTAAATTTTAATAGTATAATTTAATTTTTAATACTTCTGTAGATTAAACACTTATTTGCATATTATTTTTTTATGAGTGTTATAAATTTTCCAAAAATAAAATACTGTTGGTCTTTTATGCTTTTTTTTAAATTTTTTTATATTTCTTTTTTTTGTTTGTTTTGTGTGTTTTTAATTTTCATTTTATTTAATTTTCAACATATAAAATAATCCTTTTTTTTTTTGGTTTTTTTTATAATAGTTGCATGTTGTAAAATTTTTTATATATTTATTTTTTTTTTTTATTTATTAATTATTTATATTTTATGTAGTTATTTTACTTTGATGACTAAGCAAGAAAAAACTTTTTTTTTTAAATTATATGTATATGTAAATGTATATACATATATATATATTATATTTATGTATGTATGCATATTTTTGTGTGTATAATTACAATAATAATAATTCTTAGCTTCATTTAAATTATTACATAATATTATTTTTAATTTCTTTTAATTAAATTTCCTTTTTTACTTTATGTTTAATTTAATTACAAATATTTTAAAATCTACTAAAACTTTCAAATACTACTTATATTTTTTTTTTTGTTATATCTAAATAATTCATAGATCAAGAAATTAATTATCTAATACTTTATTTATTATTTCATGCTTTATGTAGGATCCATCATTTTTTAATATGTGTGTGTATTTCGAATTTTTTATATTATTAAATATTTATTTCGTCTCAGTTTTAAATTTTAAAATTCTTTCTTTTTTCATTATTTTTTTTTTGTTTTTTTTTTTTTTTACAATTTTTACATTAAAACAATGTTGTTTTTTTTTTAATTTTATTTTTATTAATTTTTTTGGATAGAATAAAAATGACGCAAAATTGATAAAATTTATTATATATACAAATGATAGATAATTTCAATAGAAAAAATATGATGAAACACCTTTTTTTTTTAAATCAGACCAACTCTTACTGAAATTAATTAATTAATTAATTAAGATACCTTTTCAATTTGAAAAAAAAAAACTATATTTCAAACCGAAATTTTGAGTATATTATTTTAAAATATAATTTTTATTGGGAAACTTTAAGTTGCAATCAAATTGATTCCTTCTATTAATCAATTAAATTATTTATTTATATTAAAACGTTTTTATTGACCTTTATAATCCTTTTTGAATAATCAGTTCAATTACAGCAAAAAATATTGAAGTATTTTATTAAAGTTTACCCATTGCAAATTAAATTGAATTTTATTAATTACTGTATTAATGCGGAATTCAACTTATAAATGCCAATTGCTGAATTGTGTATCGATACGGAAATATTACAATTCTGATGTCAGGGTAGCTATTGTTATATTATTTACAATTCATTCGATATTTTTAAAAAATTCAAATAAATTTCAAAATCTAAATTTAAATATTTAAAAGAATTTTTATATTAACTTTAATATTAAGGACATAAAATGATTTCAAATGAAAAAGTGAAAACGATCATCCTAACAACATTGAATTAAAAATAAATTTCAAAGTTACCAAGCGTTTCCAAGCAGGACAAACAATCAAGTAAATAGTATATCGGTTTTTAAATTTATATTATAATTATCGAGTTTCCAATTCACATTAAATTTTTTTAAAATTATGGAACACATAATTAAAAAATCTTAGCGCAGGAAATTATTATTTCAAAAATAAAAATTTCAAAAATCGCCTTACACAAGAACAAAATTTTACATCTCTCCAGCGAAACGATGATAATTCCACTTCGAATCAACATTATTTACTCATAAATAAAAAAAAAATTTAAAAAACAAATCGTGAAAAATTAAAAAACATATTTTACTTTTGTCAAAATACATAAATATATTTAAAAAGAAAAAAAAAAATAGAACAAAGATAAAAAAAAAAAATATATATATATATATATATATATATATGTATATGTAAATGAATGTGAAAAATATATGAAAAAATATTCTTAAATTTAAAAAAAAAAATTTAACTAAATATTTTTTTTAATAACTAATAACTATACCTTTATATATTTTAAATAAACTTTCTATCATAACTGAAATAAAGTTTATTTTTTTAAGAGCTAAATAATATTATTCTGTTTCTTTTAGTCTTATGGAATAATTTGTTTTATAAGAGCAATTTTGCAATAATTTTATTAAAAAAAAAAAAAATAAAAAAAAACTTGCAATTTATACAAAAAAAATTTTCAACACAAAACCGATTTGCAAAATCTCTATTTTTAGATAAAACAATTTATTTAATTATTTTATGCAGTCCATATGAACAAAATCAAAACTTAATTGAACAATGTTTTAGTCCAAGACTAAAAACAAGTTGTTTTTAAAAATTTTCATATATTTAATCTATATATAAGTAAACAATTCTATAAAATTTTAGATTATGTAGCTCTAATTCTGTTATATAAATCTAAAATAAAACTTATTATAAAAACTTTATATTAAAATAAAAGTAATTTACAATTACTTAATATCCAAAATTTATAAATTATAATTATTTATATTATGATAAAATTAAACATAAACTTAAAACAAATAAAAATTATAATGTAAAAAAAAAAATAATGTGTAATCAAATTAAAAAAAAAAGTCAGTATATATATTTAATCCTTATAATTTATTTCTTAAAATAAAATTTTACTTTATGAACACAATGGAAAAATAAAATAAAAAATATTTTTTTTTTTTTGCTCAACAACAAAATAAAAGAATTTCTTTTCAATTTCTGTATCTGTGCCTATTAAAAAAAACATCGCAATAACAAAATTTTAATTATAGGATTAATTCCAAAAAAAAAAAATATTTTAAAATTAATCTTTAAATAAATTGAAAATACAATAATATTTTTTTAAATAACAAAGTAGAGGTTTTTTAATAAATTTCTTTTTTTTTTTAATGTAAATTTTCTTTAATAACACACAAATTGCATTTTGTACACAATTTCCATGCAAAAGATTTTCTATAATTTCATATTTTAAATTATTTAGTTGAATAAATAAGACAATAATTTCAAGAGCTTTAATCATTTATCAAAAAAAATTTTAACTATCAAAAAAAATTTCCTTTGTAATCATCATTTTAACCGAGGAAAAGTGATAAATTCGCACAGTGATAATTCAAAAACTATATCAGATTTAATATAGAGCTATAGCAAATAAAATAAAATTTTATTTCTGGCCAAGCTATAAAAATTTAGCAAATAAAAAATTTTTTGCGATTTGATAATTTTTTATTTTATTAATTTAATATTAATACTGAAGCAAGATAGTTTTTATATGTATTTAAATTTTCAAACGATTGTCCTGCCCCATTTCGTATCCGAATCACATACAATTTTTCACATTTAACATATTCTGTTACATTCGTTTTTCATAACATTTGTCTAAATTTTAGAATGAAACGAATATGTAAATACAATGATTTTAGTAGTTAATTAAAAAAAAATTATTTCATGAAATAAAATAGGAAAAAATAAATTATATTATATAAGGGCGTCGGTCAACATGCAAATCTAATTTTAAATTGACTTATTCCGTAATTAAAACAGTATTACTAAATATGTCACGTTATCGTTAGGTCTACATCTTTTTTATTCAACATAAAAAAGATTTCCTAAATGAAAATTTGTAAATCCGATTGCAGTACAGTTTTAAAAGACCTTCTTCATGAAATTAAAGAAATCTACATATTTCCCTGTCGCGATTATCAAAGGTATAAAATTAAATTTAATTCATAGAATAAAGATATGTTATGTATTACGCTATTAAGAATTTATAATAATATATTTTTAAATTTTTATCGTATATGAATTGGTAAACTTTTATATATTATTCTTATATAGAATATAATTTGTATAAAATTATACATACATTTATGTTAAAAATTGAAATTTATTGTTAAGCTTCAATTAATTAATCAAAATTTTTTTAAAAAAAATAATAATAATAAAGATATTTAACCTGCATATTAAGATATTAAACTTAATAATGTTTTCTCATCAAAAATTTTAGTCAGTTTTCATTTAAATAATTATTAATTACACAAGCTTGATTTGAAAACTCCTGACATCTTATTTTTAGAAAAAAAAATTCCATACAAAAATACCTTGTCTTCTTTGAACAAATATTTTTTTTTTGTTAGAAAAAAGTAAAATTTTTTTGTTATCTTCAAAGAATAAAGAAACTTTTAAATTTTTTTGTATCCTATATTATGGAATTTAAAGTGAATTTTTCTTGTAAGTAAGCTTCCAAATATTTTTCAGAAAGGCGTCATTTTCCCATTTATACATTCAGCTGTTAAATTTTAATATCCTTTTTTTTTTAATTTTCTATTTTTCAATAATGAAGCTTCATTACATTTAATTTTTGTTTAACAATTAATTTTTGAATCATATTTCAATTAAAACTGAACAAGCGTTTTGTTCAGTTAAAGTAAATATGTATTTATTTATTTTTTATTAATTATTTTTGTTTAATTATTTAGTCTTCACTTATTGGAATAACATTTTCCGATAATATTCGACATCATTTTTTAAGATAAATATACATAATTTTATCTATTCATTTTTATTTATAGATAAGTAAAAAATAAAATCTGAATTACAAGGACTTCTTTTTTAAAAGTTCATTACAAAAATGAAATTAATCATAATATTTATATAAGAACTGAGATCAAAAAAAAAACATTTTATTAATTTTTACAGATTACTTTTATATCCATTCTAACTATGATTTTTTTTTTTAAATTGATTCAATTTATTTTTATATTTTTTTAATTATTAGAACAAAGTTTCAAGAATAATTATCAAGACAGTTGAAAGAGCCGTTTCTTTTGTTTCTTTGATTTATTTGTGACAGTCAACTACAATATACTAACACTGATTAAAATGATTAAATTAATGACAAATTCGTAAACTTTATAAAGCACTTTTGAAAATTTTCTAAAACCGAAATTTTTGAAAATATCTCAGTTTTAAAATTTTATATCAACTGTGTTTCTTTTCATGAAATAGACAGTTAAAAAAAGAAGTTTTCATGGGAACTGTAAAAGAAAATTGGAATAAAAAAAAGTCTAGTTTCCTATTATCAAATCGGATGACTAACAAATCCAATTTGAGTTAATAATAAAGTTCGTGGATTGATTTGTCGAAGATGTAACTAAATTAGATTCTGTTGCTGTTACTCCATTACTGCTGGTTGCAGCTTGTTGGGAAACAATTGAACTTATGCTACCACTGTTTTGATTTACACTTGTTGTATTTAGTGTCTGATGATTTGTATTATTACTTGAACTTACATGTTGTTGTTGAATAATATCGGATTGTTGTACCGAATCAAATCTTTGTCATTTAGAATTACTTTGAAGCGCAGTATTTATTTGAGCCCAAAGGTCTTTTTTACATGATTTTGATCTATTTATTTAATATGAAATAAATAAATTAAAATAAGTAAATGGATAATTGAAAACTTGTTAAACGTACCTTTTAATAGATTGTAGCCAATCTTTAAATTGTGCATTACCTTCCGGTGTAATTTGAAAAGCTGCTCGAGCAGCTAATATAATACTTGCAAATTCTTCATAGTCAGCTTGAGTTAGATGATATAATTTTTGATGAATACATTGGATATACCTATATTGAAATTTTGGGAAAATATTGTTAGAATTAAAAATAAAAAACCACCAAAACTAATTGTTAAATTACATTTGTTGACATTTTTGAACTAAAGGAGTTAAAGCAGATCTTAAATGTTGCATAACCAGTGTTGGATTGTTTCTGCCTAAATAATGTGCTGATTCTATAGCAACGTCATGTAAAACAAAGGGACTAACAATAGAATTTACTGCACATATGCAAAATTGATGTAAGTATTGAGTTCCAAGCTTTTTGGAAATTCTCAATAGCCATTTAACATCTTCTCCATAAGGGGGATTTCTTGCATATTTTGCTTGTGGTCGATCATCATGAACACGTCTAGCGAGTGTTTCCATAGCTAACATGCCAACATTGTAAGCAGCCAGTAAATAACGTAATTGGGTTTGCCTAGTAAAATTAATTATAATATAAAATGAAATTAATTTGTTTGTTTGAGAAAACTTACGTGAACTGATGTGGATGACGCTGCCTTTGCATTGAAGGCTGTTGAACCATTGGATATATAAGACCATGATGGTTAGGTTGACCTCTTACAGAAGAACTTTGACCCGAATTAGACTGCTGAGAATTTTGTTGAGCTTGTGATTGGGGTACCATAACTTGTGGAGGCGGAGGGAGCAAAGCCATTGATTGGCCATAATATTGCATACTTTGTTGCATTTGTGGTGGTGGAACTGATGATGTGTTTACTTGCATTTGAGAAGGAATTTGTCCATAAGCGCCTGGTTGACCTGGTTGTGGAGCACCTACAACAGGTCCGTTTGCTTGGCAGGGGATTGGCTGACCATAGCTTTGAGGTGGTGGTGGATGTTGCATTGGAGCAAAACTACCAGGCGGAGGATAAGGTGGAACCTGAGCAACATTTGGCGGTTGTGATGCTGTTTGTTGAGGTGGTTGCGGAGCGTACTGATAGGGCTGCGGAGGGCCCGCTGATATATACATTTGCATTTGATTACCTGGATAAGAAATATTATGATGGTGATATATGCCCTGACAGAAACTGTATGGAGCTCCATATGGACCTATTCCTATTGGTGCTATTGTAGTAACTCCTTGTTGGAATGGTGGTGGGGCAGTGGTAACAACAACTTGTTGGCTTGGAGGCATTCCAGCTTGGGGGGGACCTGATTGCTGAACTTGCTGTTGTTGTTGCTGAGCTTGTTCTGCTTGTGATTCTATTAAAGCACTTAAGCTTACTGAATGATCAACATCGTTGATATCATGCTCTTCGCGTTCACTATTTGGAGTATTCCTTAAATATAACTCGTACCAGTAATGTGCTACCTGGAATAACACTTCTGGATAAACACCCCCGCCTTTTGCAGCTGTTTCTACTGTAATGCAAGCCCGTTCCAACATTTGATCGCTTTGTTCTTTGCATTGAGAAATAGCTCGTTGAATTTCATTTGGATTCAAAGCGGCTGCATGTGGTAAAACGGAAAGAGCCAATTCAGCAGCAGGATATACCATATTGTTATCCCAACCTTTAGAAGCACGATCTGCCATGCTAGCAGCTTCTGGTGGAGTAAGATGGCCCTCCCAAGTGTCTATCAAAAACGAAATTGCTGGAGCGCCAATTTCCATTGCTTGTCCAATAATCCAAGAAACATGTGAGCTATAAGTTCTGCTTAGCCAATTAGGACTTACACAATTGTGTAAACCCAAAGCATAAAGCCCTAATTGAAAAGCGCACATGTGTAATCCTCTATGTGGACCATGATGATTTTGGTTTGTTGTAGCCTGAGTGAATAATGATGTTGAGCTTGTACCTCCTGCTTTTGTCAAAACATTTTTCGACAATTCAAACATAAAATGAGCGCTGGCCTCGGATGGTTGATTAGGTATGGACGGATACGCACGTTTTCCTTTGTAGCGTATATCTTTGGTGCGACTCGTAGCACCAGTAACTGTAGTAGTAGTTTGTAATTGTCCTGTCCCATTACTACCGATAGGACACGATATAGAAGTTTGCGGTGAAGATATATTTAATTGATTCATTCCAATTTCAAGTTCCGCACTTGTACTTGAATGTGGACGGCTGTTACCACCACCATTTCCACTCAAATTAGCTGCCGCGTAATCTGAGGAATATACTTCAGGATTTGAAGCATATATTGTCTCATGCTCATGTTCACGACGCGTTTGTGATGCTGGTGTCCGCACAGGTGGGTTATTAGAATAATAGGCTGGTAGAAGAGGTTGTTTTAAGAGTATATGAATTTCTCTGTCTAATAATTTTTCCATAATTTTTGCAATTTTTCTCGGCTCATCCTTGTAATAATATAGTAAGGTAAGAGCCAAATCACCTCTTTGCCTCCTAGTACCCTCACACAAGAGTGGATGTTCAGCTTCAGATACGTTAGCTTTAAGGCCAAGGGCGGCAACTGCAGCTTCAAAACCTAAATTTTCATCAGTTGGGATGCGATAAGATAAACTCATTACTTTATTACGATTCTCTTTACCGGCTACAGATGGCATTACCAACGCGTCAAAAATAAAACTGGCCAAGTTAATTGGAAGCAAAGCTTCACCTCTTGACTTTAACGTACCATTACGTAACTGTTCAGCCCTTTCGCGTATAACTCTCAATTCTGGCTGATTTAGAGGAATTTTTTTCAGTAGACCCAGTAAATCAGCTTCTTGGTTAGCTAATTTTACTTCTAAAGGTTTTGTACTTGCTGGTGGTCTCGGCATTTCCAAAGCAAATAAACATATTCTAAAAGCCAAATGATAATGCTCAGAATTCTCGGCAAGTACAGTGCACAAAAATACACATTTTGAAAGCGTTGTAGATGCCAAAACACTCAACTGATGCGATATTGGATTTATGTTTTGTTTTTTGCCCTTTCGTCTTGGTGGCATTGGCAATTCAATCATTAAATTCGGTGGATGTGCCAACATTTCCTCAGCTAAACGAACTGCTAGTATGCAAGCTTCCCGCCCGTGTCCATGCGCATGTAAACCTTCAGCTCTAGCTAAAAGAATATCCCAAGCATCTTCGGTTGGTCGGAGATTTGAAAAAATCTGTTGCTTTGAATTACCAGGTTGTCTATGATAAACGTATTGAGAATAATGCAAATTATTTATATATTGTGGAACAGTTGAGGTTGTTGGTAGTGTGGTCGGTGGTAGTGAAGCCGTTATAGTTGCCACAATCGGAGCTTTCGTTGGAATATGTTTGTATTCAGAGGCGGCCGCAATATTAGAAGAACATGAGGGGCCAGATACAATTGCAATAGAATTTGAACATTCTTGGGGTTGAGCTAATGGAGCACTAAGACTCGATTTAACAATTGATGTATCGTTGGCAGTTTTATTGTTGTGAGAAACATTTTCTATAGTCGCTGAAGTTCTTATATTATCATTGGCAGTAAACTCGTCGGATGAACTGGAAAGGAACTCGTCCTTAGCTGACTGACGCCTACAAAACAAATAAGTTATTTATGTATTTTTGTTTTTTTTTTTGTAAAGCCCAATATCTTACCTATGATCTTTAGAAGAAATTTTTAAATGTTTCTCATTTCCCCCTGATGTGTCAGCAGTTAGTGCATTTGAGGATATTGAACCTGAGACGGACGAAGCTGAAGATGAAGAGGAAGAGCTAGATGATGACATTTGTGATGATGTAAGAACTCCTTCATTTCCTTCAACGTTTTGTCTTATCTGATTATTTAGCAATTTATTAACTTCTGTAACAGTTACAATCGATTTTCCTGTTGTAACCGCTGCTGCACGAGCTTTGTCACACACTTTTTCCATATTTTTAGATAACGATGATGCTACTGCCAAATGAGCATCTCCCTTATTTTCACTTACAGTAACGTTTTTCATAAAATTACTACCTGAGGTTGAAGTCGTAGCAAAATCAAACTTATCTTGATTATTTTCCCGGCTTAAATCTTTGTCAACTTGTATAGAATTTTTAACAATAGAAGTGGTGCCATTACAAGATGAAGATGAAGAGATTTCAATACTAGCTTGAGAGTCAGATTCACTTTCCAAAGACTTCAATACGTTTGAAGTGCTTGATATTTTTGATTTTTCACCTGCAGATGTAATTACTTGCTTAGATGTTAACAAACATGATGGTTGTATGGTTCGGCCGCCTTCGATTGTGTCAATATTATTTCCACTACTATCTCCTCCAAAATCTTCATTTTCACAAAATCCTTCACTGCTTGCACTTGACCTATTACCATCGTTCATAATAGAATTTTTTACAGGCAAGCTACCTCCATTTCCCTTATTAACGTTACTTGATCCTGATAGCGCAAGACCTAACGCACCTCCATTTGTTGATATATTTATACTAGAAGCAACAACATTCCCTGTATGATGGTGCGTAGATGACTTAATTAAAATATTCATGCTGTCACTACTACTATTACTACTATTATTACTACTAGAAACATAGCTCCTGTCTCCACGCCCGTACAAAGGTCTTTCATACCGAGATTTCATAACTGAATGGTGATGATGTGATTGCTGATTATCAGTGCTGATGTAATTGTAATGTTTGTTTTGTGTCGCCATTAAAGTAGCTTGAGTGGAATTGATTTGACTACTATTGGGAAATTCACTTTTTGTATCACTATGCTTAAAACATGTGAACGGAGAATAATAAATTGGATTGGTTTCTTGCGTATGTGTTATTCCTGCAATTGGATAGTCTTCCCAATCTAAATAACATGCTTCTATAGCTGGTTTAAAACCAATAAAGAGTTCTGCATCAGATCTACAAGAAAACATAAACAAAACTTGTAATTGTTCAAATCAATGAATATTTCAAGATATATACTTACCTTGAGTTTTGTTGATGTTTGTTACTATAAGAAGGAGGTTGCATTCGTCCACACTTAACAACCCGATCCAAAATTTTTAAATGCCAAGCCGTAAACTGCGCATGTAACATGTCGCGTTCATCAGGTGCCAAACCAGGATTTAAAGCAGCCAAACGCCATAGAACTACAATTTCGTCACACAAAGAAGCACATGCATGTTGTGAAGCATTCGAATTTGAATGCGTATTTGAATGTTTCCCTCCACCATGGCCATTTGTTCCAACTAACAAGGATAATTTTGTATAAAACCACCAAATCAAAATTTGATCGCATGCCATGCACTCCTCAGTAATAATTTCGAGCAAACGAACAGCGTTTCGGTCACATCTACGGTACATTTCACGAACAATAGATAACAAATTCCACATACCTTCAGGTTCACGGCCGCGTAGTGGGCGCAATAAAGAGCTCCATTCAGCAGCCGCTGGAGGAGCGGAATTAGTTAAATAATTAACGTCACTGCAAGTTAAAAATTTCATACAGAATAATAAAACAAATCCAATTATAAATTACAACAAAAAAAAATTTTACCTAAACACGATTGGAGCTGGTAAGCAGAATTTTATTAAAATTCTTTTAATATTTTCATGCAACGTTTTTTCATCCAAATACCAACTTGTTTGATCATTCGCTGAAGCACCAGCCGTAGGATCTGGAGCACCGCATACTGTATTTATAGCTGTTGGTTGACTACTTAATAGTTCGTCTAACAATCTTTGAGCCGTTGGTAAAATTTGTTGCGGTAATTCACTTATAAGGTATTGAGCGAATTTTTGTAGTTGATCACGTTGCAAACGTGTTAAAGATTCTGATACAGGTGCACGAAGGCAAACTTCATTTGGACAGTGTATGCGATGGAGACATACCGCAACTACGTGTGAACACCAATATGCCGACGAAGTACAAGTACAATTGCATGAAGAAATTCTCCGTCTATCGAATGTCACCGCGACATTAAATTGGTCTCTTGGTTGTTGGCTAATAACACTTGCGGACAAATGGAAACCTTATTAAAAGCAAAAAAAACTTAAATGTTAAAATGTAAAGTTTTTATTTCAAGACAATAATTTACCAATTTGCAGAGGATCTTTGACTGCTCTATTTCTAAAAAGCTGATCACCTCTATGGAATTCATCAGCTGAACTATTCGCCAGACATGAATATAATCTAATATCCTCCTCATTATCTGGAAAGCTCCAAAATGCAATACGCAATTGCAATTGCTCTGGAACCGGTGGATATACATGCTCGACTAATTCAAATGGTATGTAAGACGCCACGCACTTAGCAGCTAATTCTGTTAAACTTATGACTTGATCTGAAAACAAAAAATATTCATTTACAGATTTAAAAATCTTAATCGAAAACGGTAAAAGAATTACACAAGAAAAATAAATTTAACAAAACCGATTCTTGATTCAATTTCTAATTTTAATAAGGCTTTCCTATTGTTCCAAATTTCACAGTTTGTCATCACTTTCATGGATAATGTTAGGCCAAAGTAGTATTTTTAAATAATTTTAGTTAATTCAAAATTTATTTTTTTATATGTTTTCTTTCCTTTTCCTCAGATTGCTGCTCAAGTAAATAAAATAATTTAACTTGTGCAATAATTAAACAAAATAAAATTCATGAAGGACCCGAAATGATTTATTTCAACAAAAGGAAATGCCTAGGTTTAGCATTTTGGACTAATGAACAAAAATATTACAAAGAACCTTTTTAAAAACTAACTTTTTAAAAACAACTAATTTTAGTACTAACCACTATCTTGTTGCTTTTTCTGAGATACCCAATTTCCAATTCCTGTGTTATTAGATGGTCTCTTCCAACCTCTCCAATTATTACATACACTTTCAGGCTCGGAGCTCCAACTACATAATGAATCTTCTTCAAAACGGTCTGAGTCATCAAAACTAAATCGGTCGCATTCCTCGGGATTCCAATCAGCAGCATTACCAGCAGCTCCGTTTGAAGTACCACTTCCACCTGCTTGCTGATGTTGCTGATGTGATGATCCTGCTAACCTATTGCCTCCGCTTGTAGTTTGATTATTTTGAGCAGCACTCTGTTGTGCCTGATGACCACCATTGGAGGAAGCTGCTGCTGCACCACTGCTACCAACTCCACCAGGGTTCGCCAGGGTTGTTAATGTATCACCACACGAGTGGGTACAAAATACTCAGTTTGCTTTTTATATATTATAATATTAAATTTACACTATTTGAATAAGTATTACGAACTTTCTGTTTCTTTTTTCTTTTTTCTTTTTTTTTTATGGGTAATCTAAATTAGTGTAGGCGGTCTCTTTTTAAACAATGATTTGATTCAAATTTTATTACGAAAACAACTTTTAATTTTACAAAACACTTTACAAAAGTTCTGCATTAAAACAATGTTGCGGGGGATATTTTCTTTACCTTTATTGCAAGAAAAATAATTTTAATAAAAACACACAAAAAGGGCTTGCATTATGGGTAACTTATCATTGTAGTCAGTATCTCCCGTCAGCTGCTTCGTGGGTGGGAAAAATTAATAAATATATTTGACAACATTTAGGGAAATATTTCATATACACATAATTATAAACTATAAAGTTAAATATTTTTACAAAAAAAAGGTTCAATCAGTAAGAATTTTCTATTCTGATATTTTCAATTCTTGTGAATGCTAACTTTTCTTTGTTTTCAATTTCCAAACATTTTGTTGTTGCTCTTTGCTTGTGAATCTTGAAATTCCCTATCCCTTCACTACTTTTCACTTTGACAAAAAAAAATCTACTTGCACACAAAACTCGAAATTTTCGATTTTTCTCGTATATATGGAAAAAATGACTGCACAAAAATTAACACTTTTTATTGTTTATTATACAATTTTCTTTTATATTTTTGATTTATAAATTAACTAATTATAACTCCGAATTCATATGAGCACGGGAAGCCAATTTTTAATAAGGGAAAATATTTTTTCTCTAATAAAATTAAAATGAAAAATAATGTAAAAAAATTTCTGTCCCCACACAACAAATATGGCAATGTAGACTTTTTGACACTTACTTTGTAAGGGTATGGGAGAAGATTTTTATTCTAAAGTGGCATCTCCGCTATATTGAAATTGGTACACTTGATAAAAATTAAGATTTATATTAATTTATGTCAGTATCGTTAAATATAACTTAATATTTATTTTTGGTTCGTGTATGAACTTCTCAGCACCCACAGCAGTTGTATAAATGACATAAGTGTTGATTACGATTCAAATAACATTTTATATTGACATTCCACACTATATGTATCCTTTAAATACAATATTATATTTTAAAAATTAGTATTCCAAATTTATATTTGAAATATTTCCCTTCAATATCTGAAAAGTCACTTTACTTAAATTTTTTCGAAAAAAACTATCAAAAACCACTTTCAAACTGGTTTGCTGTCATTATTTAGATAAAATTTAACTAATCAAGCGCAATACTTTGTTAGCTCTAAGAGTAGCCTATGTAGAATATTTAGAAAACTTCAAATATTATTTTCATATAAAAATTAGGAAATGAAGATATTTAATGACGTCCTTATGAAACATTTTTACAAAATCAAAATAAAATAATGCTGAAATGGCAAATGTGAAAACATCTATATTATTAATCGAAACGAAAAAAAAGTTGTACACAGCCCTTGACTTTTTATTCTGCCAAGATTTGTACAGCTGCTAAAATTTCAACAATAAAAACATTGCATTTTATTTTTCAAAACCAGTAATAGAAGTACTCGTAGTAATAGGAAATAGTTTTCTTTGTTTTCAACGTGCAATATTTCGTCAAAGAAAACTTTTAATATACTTAGTAAATGAAAATATTTTTATTTTAGATCGCGACAATCAATGGTCACATTTTAGCCATTGTTAGAATATTACGTTTAACAATCAAATTCTAAAGCAGGGTAATCACTTATAGCAAATAAACTAGAAAACATTTTTAACCAACATCAAGGATATTAAAAGATAAAAATGGAATTTATCGAAAAATACTCAATTTTAATATAATATCAATTTTTAAATTAAAAAAGACTTTTGTATTCACTATCTTAGCTCTACAATATTCACATACAAATAGAAGTATATTTTATAACTAGTTCGTTTCTGGAAGTGATTCGGTCTTCTTTTCACTATCATTGTTTATCTTTCTTTTCTTTGCAGTAGATTGTGAATTACGTCCGTCGGCATGTAATTTCATATGAATCTTAGGAAAAATGAAAATTTAGGAAATTTTACTATCTTTATGAAACAAAATACAAACCTTAAGAGCTCCGTTTTGCTGGAAGGCTGAACCGCAAACAGAACACACATAAGGTCGTTCTCCAGTATGAGTTCTTTCATGTGTAACACGATCGCTTTGCTGTAAGTTTTGAAAATAATTTAGCAACAATATGTATATGTACATAAAAATAAACATACTTGAGCAAAACCTCTCCCACAAAATCTACACAAATATGGTTTTTCGCCAGTATGAGTTCGTCTATGGTTTTTAAGAGTGCCTAAAGCAGCAAACCTCATAGGACAAAAATCACATGCATAAGGTCTCTCCCCAGTGTGAATACGAATATGCTTTTTTAAACTTGATGATGTTGTGAAGCCTGATCCACAAGTGTCACAAACAAATGGATGTTCGCCTTGAAAATTCATATGCTGTATTTTTTATGAAGCGAAAATTACTTTTAAATATTTACCTGTATGTTTCCTCATATGAGAGTTCAGTTCACCTAAAAAATTTTAAACAATCACGCTGAAATTTTTATATTCAATTGTTTTATGTATGTATTTCATTAACACAAACCTTTGCTTACAAATTCACAAGGACATTGCGCACATTTAAATGGTTTAGTATTGGAATGCCTCATAGTATGCTGTTTAAGATTCGTACTTTGACTAAACCCTCTTCCACATGTTTCGCAAATAAAAGGCTTTTCTCCTAAAAATTTTAGAATGACAAAGAGAAACACCTAAGTAAAACAATTCTTACCGCTATGTACTCTCATATGATCCTTTAAAGCAGAGAGCATTGTAAAACCTTTAATACAAATTTTTTTAATATAGAAATAGAGTATTTGCACAATCAGTCAAAGTTTAACTTACATTTTTTACATATGGGGCATTGATTTTTAATGGATTTTCCAGAAACATGTTCATTATCCATGTGATTTTTAAAGTCCTCTTCTGAATCAAATTCCTTCATACATTTTGAGCATTGAAAATTTTCAGTGTGAATTTTTATATGCTCTATTAAAGTAACTTTACTTATAAATATTTTGTGACAAACCAGGCACTCGAATTGCTTTTCTGTACACCGATTTAGTTTTCTGTGAAAATTTAGAGATCTTTCTGTCTGAAAACCAGCTCCACAGTTTTCGCAATTATACGCACAACTTTCTGGTATATCCTTTACAATCGGTTCAATAGCAGATTCTTCAACTATTTCATCAATTGTTGTAGCTGTTAAAATTTCTTCTCCATGAACTCCAATAGTTGATGTTTCAAAAACTATTTCTTCTTTTGGGAGACTTATTGCACATTCATTCTCTGCTGGAGCTATTTCAGCCGTATTCTTCTTAAAGTGTGATTGTGTTTCGAAAGCTTTTTTGTGCCATTCTAAATGTTTGTTCAAATTTTTTAAAAACACAAAATCTGATGGACAATGTGGACATTTAATGGGTTCTTTTGACCTTTTTTTCCCAGTCGTGGATGATTCTGAAGTACTATTAGGAATTTCAGTGGTAACATCAGGGTCGTTTTCATTTATTTTAAGTGTTTTGTATAAATTTGAAGTCTCTGAGTTCCCGTCCTGCAAATGGTCCTCTACGTTTTTACTTTTCCCATAACCTTGGCTATTTGATTCCTTTTTTTCAGGGTTAGATGGCTCTTCTTCAAATATATACTCAGTATCATTCTTTAAGACTAATTTATTATTCATTAACAAGTCTTCATTTCCATCTGAAAATTCTGAATCATCTATGTTATCTATATTATCTTCGAAATGTTCATCCTTATCGTAATATGTCTCCGCTTTTTTTGTGCCTGTGGTGTTTTCAAGTTCTACTTCATCATTCTCTCCAATTTCAGTCTTTACATTTTCATCACTACTATAGTTTTCTTCATTCTCACTCTTACTAATTCCAATCAATTTTCTTAAGGTCTGCTCGGAGGCTTCGCATTTGATTTTGAATGAATAAGCCCTATTAATTTCTGTGAAGCATGCAATGCAAATTTTTTCTGGTAAACCGTCATTGATTTCCGCCTAAAATATTAACAATACTACCATATTCAGAAGGAAAGTGATTTAATACTATGCATTTACTTTAATAGAGGTGATTGATTGAAACATTTCAAATACACTTGAAGCTTTACCCGGCTTTTTATCGAATAAAGGAATCTTAAAATATAAAATTTTTTGAATTTAATTAAAATTCTAAACTTGTAAATAACAAAACACTAGCCTCACCATACACGGTTTCTCCGTTTCCAAACAAGTTCTGCACATGTTACTTAAAACTAAAGCCATTATATTACTAAATTAAAACAAATATTTTTCTAAAAACTATTTTCTAATATAAAAATTATTTAATTCAATGAAGTAAACAAACTTGGAAACCTAAGAAGTCAAAATTTTTTTTTAAATTGTCAATTCTAAACCTATAATTATTGTTTGTGGATACAAAATTTTGAAACTGTCAAGTATTCATTTATACTTTAAAAAGAAAATTTACTGAGTTTTCTGAACGCAAAAATTTTATAACGATAAGCTACGAAGCGACAATTTCTGCTAAATACAACTTTAATGTTCATTGTGCATAAAATAAAAATCTAAAGGTAGTACTAGGTTACAAGTGGTCTAACAAACCTAAATAGGATTTACAACATACCGAATTTGTACTTGTGTACGTTGATATGACAACGTATATCAAAATCAGTGCGTAAAACAGTCGATATTGTAAAAAAAATTTATTGGAAATTGTGGAATTATTGAAAATTGTATGCATATCTTCTTCTTTATGTTGGGCGTCTTGGTTTTTTCGTCATTTATTTCGTTTATTAGAAGGGAATCATCTCAAAGGATCCGCCTTAAAAATAGAATGCAGAATGACAAAAATTTCTAAATCAATAACATCTAATGTAAAATTAATTTCCTGTTATTCTGGATTATGGTCGTTTATCCCTCACGTTATGAATTTTAATACATTTTACTTTACTTTTGCGAACAATATAACCTTTTTTAAATAATGATAATTTCAAAATAAAAAAAAAGGAAAGCAAAAATATAAGCACAAATGATTTTTATACTTCTTGTCAGCTTATATATTCCATAGCGTACATTATAAAAGTGCATATTTAAAATAATTTAAACTGAAAGTGTATATCGTACGTCGCTATTTAGATTATGTAATAAATCATGGGTTGTAGCGTGAGAATATTTCCTTCGTAGACTTCTTTAAAAATATGAAATTCGTAGTTTTCAGGGCTACGAACGAAATTCATGATAGGGCTCATAATTTCAGTACCTTATTCCAAATTTCATAAAATAATGTTAAAGTAATGCGACGCAGCATTTTCCTATATTGAGCGCACATAATACAGTTTCCCCGAAATTTAAATAAATTAATCAATGGAACGCATCCCTTCACGAATCTTAAAACTGTAACCAGTAATCGCATCGATTATTTTGAAGGGTCATTTTAGCGTTCAGATGGCTGTCAATGTATTGTCAAATATTATTCAAACATGAAAGTCGGTTTTTTCAAATGCATAGTTTCAAAAAGAAGTCTCTAGCTTTATGCTTTTAGATATAATTTGTTAAATTAATCTGTTAAATTTTTGTTTTGAAGAGCTATATAAATAAAACAAATATCTAATAATTATAAAGTTATATAAGTTTGTTAAATTTAGCGAAAATGAATCACTACAATTGGGATAATCTTGAGGTCGGCAGATATGATTTGAACCACTCGGAGAATTTTTTTGGTAAAAAGTAATTTTTTTTCTTTTTAATATTTAACCCTAATTTTGGTTTTATTAGCTTTTAAACATTCGAAACATGAAAAATTTGATCTTGAATTGGAAAATGGTAATTTCATACAAATAATTTTTAATACATATGTACATATGGGCTAATATAAACCTTCTCATTAATTTACAGAAGCTATGATAGATGAAGAAGATGTTAAAGGAAGCTATAATGAAGTTTTACGAGAAAAACTTTTGCAGGACCCATTAAACTATGAAAAAGATTCTAGAGTTAATTTAGAAAAAAATCTTATCAATACCTCGAACTTGAAAAATTCTGCACATCAAAAAAATGAGGAATGTGTTTATAGCAATGAAGGTGTTTCTATGAAACTACGCAAGTCGAATGATAAAATGAAAACGGATTCGCAGAATACAACAGATGATAATAAAGAAAATTGCGTAGAAAACTTAACAAAATCTAATAATTTCGAAGTTAAATCTCAAATTTCAAAAAAGGAACTTTCGGAAAAGAAGTTACCGGAACCTACAGAAACAGATGCAAAAAATTTTGAACTTAAGAAAAATTCTCCAAATATGAAAATAAATCCTCCAACTAATTTGCTGCAGCATCCTATAAAGAGCTGGTCTGGGTCATCAGTTCAAAATAAGGAAAAGATACCAGTTCCAAATGTGATTAAATATGTGGAAATTTATGAAAAGAAAAGGCAAGATTATTTAAAAAAGCAAAAAGAAGAAGATCGAAAAAATAGAATTTTTCATAGTAAACCTGCACCTAACTTCGCTTTAGTAAGAGAAAATTCTAAAAAGCAATATATTGAAAAGAAAATAACCGAGCCTATTACGCCAAGGGTTTTAAAAAATTCATTTAAAGCTAGCGAAAAGTTGAAAAAGGTATTTAAGTTTTTTTTTTTAATAATAAAAAGCTATGTTTTTTCAATTAATTTTTAGTTAGAAAACATAAAACAAAAATCTCCAAAAAAATATCACGCAAGAGAAGCCAGGGTTTTAAATGAAAGCCCTTTTGTTCCAAAGAAGGAAACTCACGTTCTAGAAACTCAACCTTTTAAATTACATATTGAAAAAAGATTGTGCGAACGTAAATATTTTGATGAAAAGATTCACAGGTTAATGGAAGAAAAGAAGAAGAAAGTAAGATATTTAATTTACTTTATTTATGATATTATTTTAAATTTACTTTTTAATCTCAAATAGGAAGAAGAGGAACGAATTAAAAGAGATGAAGAACTATCAAAAGAATTCAGAAAAATGACAACATTCAAAGCACGTCCAAACCCATTTAAATAGGTAAAGAAAATGAAATAATAACAATTATTTTGTGAATTGATTTGAGAAGTTCTTTTAAATTGACCATTAAAACCACTTTTTTTTATTTAAAAATAAACTAAAAACTATTTTAGCAACCACTTATTATGAATTGAGTTTCTTCGTCATAAAAATATAGTCAATCACAATCTAATATTTTTTTTTTTTAATTAGTAATAATCCTTAATTTGTTAAGTAGAAATCTTTCGGAAAGGATTCTTGAAACAAAAATTCTGTATTTTGTGTTGAAATTTAAAAAAATATTCTAGTACGCTGCGATGTAAAAATTCAATAAATAAAAGTATTAGAATTTTAGTGTTAATAAACAGATAGCTTTTGTATCCCAAAAGACTTTATTAAAAATTTACTTTTTGCAATCTCAAAAAGAATAAATAAATTTCACATATTATGTTTTTGATAGTTTTTTTCATTTATGTATGTAGTGATACATACAAATTTGTAATATACATAAAATTTGTTTAACAAACAATTGTTTTCATGTACAGATTATAAAATGATCCTTAAAATTAAATCCTGCCTTTATAAAAAATTTTTTCTAATTTAACTTTGGTTTCGTTTTTTTTTTCTTTTTTTTTATATATATATATATTCTGTTCTTAGTTAATTGATTTTTAGGATTTTATAATTTATTATGTATGACAAATATTTTAATTCTTGTCAGTGATGAATACATTCCCACTATGTATAACATTGTACTCATCATTAAGAAGAATTTTTTAACATTCCCAATTATCAGGAAAAATTATTTAAAAAAAACTCAAATAACTAAAAATGTCGAAAAATTAATATAAAATCTATTTTATATTTTTGGAACTAAAAATTAAAATTCAAGGCAAGGTAGGCACTATTTTACTGTTGCTAGAACAAAAAATGGGATTTATTTTTTTTTTAATTGGAAAATATTTTCGAATCATAATCGTTATTTAATAACCTTTCTCGCATTTAGTTTGATTTTTTAACATCTTTTGCTTCAGCTTCTTTTGCAGCAGCACGATTTCCTAAAATTTTAGCTAAACTATCCCAAATTCCGCCAAAGAAAATAGCTGATGATAAATTTTCAAATGGTACAAAAGGATCATGAATTCCCAGTAAAATTGAAGATAATTTGAAATAGACTAAGAAGATAACTATTCCGAAGTAGACAAGAGCGTGTGGTGCTGAAATCCAATCAGTTTTTTTATCAATCACAAAAATAATTGATGCAACCAATGAAGCTTTTGTATAGCTAAAAACAAAACAACGTTTAAACAAATAAATTCTAATAATATAATAAATGTTTATACAATGACGGTTGCATGAATTCCATTGCGGTTGGAGTCCAGGCTCCACGAATCAATCTTTCTAAAAGTTTTGTAAAACCTGCTCCATTGCCTTTCAATGTTCCAATAATGATCATTATAACGTAAGCATTCGGATATAACTTTGCTGCATGTGAAACACCATCATACACTTTTTTTGCTCGATAAATTTCTTTCATTGCACTTGCAACAATTTTAATTGGCAAGAATTTACCAATTTTATAACCAATGTCGAATGGTGTATAAAACACCATATACCTTTAATATGAATATATTTATTTCAAAATCAATACAAACTTATTTATAATAAAAAATGGAAATTTGTAATTTTTATAATTACCAAACAGCTGTTCCAACTAATAATTGAGGTGTATTTTTCAAAGGAGCCAATATTGGTTCACCTAATAACCCATTAGCAACCATTGCACCCGAAAATATAACTAACATTGTAGATAACCAACAAGCAAGTGGATGTTTTCTTGAAAAAGCTTGAGCATTTGCACCCAAATCTTCCCGAACTGCTAATGCTGATAGTAAACTATGTGCAATATCAAAATATGGGAACATTTTTAATTTTATGACCTGATTGGCCATATCCAAAAATGCTTCGGGATCCATTGTACTAATTTATTTATTTGCTTTTCTCTGAAAATAAATTTTAAAATTGCTTTAATCAACTAGAAAATATGAAAGAGAATAAAATAGAAAATACTTATCATACTGCAATTGTATCTATAATGTATAATAAAGAATTAATATAATACATTTGGCATATAATAATATGATAGGGTTTTTAAATTTTTGAGCATGCCCTGTTGTATTTTCTATATAATATTCATTGTTATTTAATAATATAAGCAAAGTAATTTATTCTTCTTCTAAAAACAACAAAAAAAAAAGAAAACGTAACGTAAACATTTTTGTAATACAAAAAATTTTTGTGACGTGTAGTTTCAGAAGAGTAATGCATACATTTTGTGTACATATTTGCACGTATTTAAATGCATAACTTAATGAGTAACATAATTAGGTTTATTGCAGATTTACACATTAATTTAAAAGAATATTCATTTTTGAAATTTTATTTTATGCAGATTATACTAGTAAAAGTTTTAAAAATATAATCTCAAACCGGTACCCTACGGGTAACTTCTTTACAACGGGTAGTTCTTTACAATGAATCCTATTCAATTAATCTGCTACATAATATTAAAATTAACTTTAAAATTTAAAGCAGAAAACAAACAATATTTAACGAGAAAACAATACCGGCTTAAATTTTTCTGATAAAACTTAATTTTATCTTATCGGCACAAAAATTACTTAAAAGAAAAAATATTTAGACTTAATCATTTTTTAATATTGTTCCACTTACAATTTATACAGTAATTTATATTTTAATTAAATATCAAATAATTCAATTTTTATCATAATTTAATCGAAGATTAATTTCTTATCGATATTTATGATTACTGTGTATGTAAATGAATACATGACCTATACAAAATAGAATGCCCGGCAATATTCTATAAAAAGAGTAGGCAACGAAATGTGTACAAAATAGTAAACATACTTAACAAATATTTTTTATATCCTCTATGTTATAGAATTAATTTTTTTTAGAAAAACCATCATATTACTTTACATTATTAACCCTAATTTTATTTATTTTAGGAAGTTCTTATCGTAGTTATGTGTAACAAACCAATCATCGTATACAAAATTAATTGTCACAAAATGTCATTCTAAGGATAACATAGAAACTTTTTGTTTTCAAAACATCATACATATTATTCTTTTACTACTACTTTCATGCCAGTGTTGGATCAACATTTAAATAATAGTATAAAGATACTACACATTTATTAAAATTGTAAAACTTTTTGTTGCAATCAATTAAATACAACATGTTTTATTAGTATATATGACAAGTATTACACGAATTTAAAGTATTATTTGAAATTTTTGTATAAAAGTGCAAAGATATTTTTTTTATCTCAAATAAAAATTTTGGATTTAAATTTTTGGAATATGCATAAGTATTATAAAATTTGTGAAATTTGCATAAGTATTAAGGCGTAGGCAGACATGCAATTTTACAACAGTTCTTTTACAACAGTTTGACTGTTTACTATAGTATTCCATAGATTTATACTCAAGGGCGCAACCATACAATAGTATGATGGCATGTAATTAAGCAATCAGTTTGTAATTTTTTAACAAACTGCAATTTTTGCAACAATATTACAATCAAGCACTAATTGCAAAATTAAAAATTACATGTCTGCCTGCACCTTACTCAAATTTGTTATACCACATTTGTATAATACTTGTGCTAAATAAAGATAACCATAGCAACAACCGTATGTAGAAGAATCATTAAAAGAATATTTTAATTACTATATGTATATAAATTGCCCAATATCTAATTTTAATATTACTTTTAAAAGAAAAATCACAAGAACAGACTTTTTTATGAACGTAAGTGATGAAGATCGTGCAAAATCGACTTTATTCCTTGTAAATTAATTTTTGAGATTTTTAAAAATCCTATACAATGTGTACAATCTATTTTTTTATTTCTTATTGCAGACACACATTTTTACACATTCCTCCGGTGATTTTTCATTTTTCTACTCCAAAAATAAATTTGTTGAGAGAAAAAACTGCTCATCTGACTCACTTTTTGCACTCAATTTTTTTTTATTATTTTCCTTTTTTTTGTTAATTATAACAATCATAGGATTTTTTTATTTTTCTTTTTCTGTAATTTATCTATAGAATTAAATTTTTTATGATTTCAAAAAAAAAAGAATAATATTTTTCTTATAAGGTATAGAGCTACACGTATGAATATTTCATAATCAATCATAAAATTTATAAAATTATTGAACTCACTTTTTTTTCTTCCGATTTTATTAACAATTTTTTCTAAAAAATTTTTGACCTTTTGCACTTATACAATTTTTCAATATAAAAAACTTTCGCGTGTATTACACAAACTTATTTATTTGCTTTTTTCTCAATTTTCCAAATTTTATAAAAAAAAACTTTTCTAATGAAATTTAGGACATAATTTTTTTATTAAATTTGTAAATAATACTTTTTATTGAAATTATTCAAACATATATAAAAAAAATAATAGTAGTTTATTTAGAATTAAAAAAAACTTAATGGAAAAGGAAAACTAAAAATTAAAAATATCCCAACGGTGCTAGCGGCCTGCTTGCCTCAAATGTTAAATTTAGACAAATCTCGTAGTCTGCACCAAAAAAAAAAAACAAAATAAAAATAAAAAATTAAATAGAAAAAAAAGAATTAAAAAGAACGAAAAGAAAATTAAACTTCCGTCTCATTTCTCAAAAGAAGAAAAATTTCAAAAAAGCATGTTTACTTAATTTTTTGGTGGAGAAATTTTCATTTCAATTATATGTTGCATGTAGGTGTTAGTGAGAGATCTTTTGATAAAATAATTATTGTTTAGAATAGCTATCTTATCTTTCGATTATTGTACAATAAGGGAAAAAAGGACTCCGTGATAATTTAAAACCCTGAAAAACCGGTACCTACACATACCAAATTTTTATTTCGATGTTTCTCATACATACTCTTTATTTTAAAATTCAGTTAATAAATAATTTAATAGCTTTTAATTGAGAGTTTTTAATTAAAAATAAATGTTCACAATGTAAAAATAAATTTCTTTTTCTTTTGGAATGATTAATTTTAAATGATGATTAAAAAACTTTATATATAGGAATACCTAGGGGATTTTCGATAATTAAGTTCTAACTTAGATGTAAAGCATGTTTGATTAATCCAAATTGTAAAACCTACAAAAATAACATGTTCGCAAATGACATTTTGGTTGTGCTTAAAGTTCTAAAGAAATTTTAATGTTCTTTTAAAAACTATTATATTATAAATGTTATATTAAAATGTTGGATATTAAAGAATTACATCTAGCATGTTGCAAATCTGCAAAAGTGAAGTAATCAGTTTCTGTAGAATTGTTAGCAAATATGTAGGGAAAGACGTTTTAAGATATAATTTTTAGAAACTATTCAGTACATGTCTGAATTATCAAAAATCCCCTATAACTATATAGGAATAGTAATTGTTTTTAATATTCTCAAATTAATATGTAGATACATAAAAAAATAAATTCGTTTCAAAGATTTTTATTTTTTTCTTTTGTATAAATAACATTTGGTATACATACACATTTCATATATATATATATATATTTATTTTTATATTTTGAGTAATGTAATGTTTATAATAATTATGAATTTTGTATAAGTTTTTTATATTTTTAACATGAAATTGAAATTTACAATGTACGTTATTATATTTAATTCCAACATGGTTATTTTTTTACACCGATAATGTATAGCATTTTGTTTTTTCTTTTTTTTTGTATAAGATAGAAGCAAATAATGAAATTTTTTCAAATACTATTTTTACACATTAACAATTACAATGTAATTTTATTCATTTTTATAAAATAAACGAACAAAAAAAAAACAAAATAAATTAATTTAAATCTTTATAATACAAAAATTGTAGATTTTTGTCTTTTTTTTCTTTTCTAAAAAAGAACCAGCAGGTTCTACTTGAGTGTATTTATTGATTATGTGTATGAATATGGGGATTTTTGAAAACTCAGTTCTAACTTAGATCATGATTTAAAGCAAGTTCGATAAAACAAAACTGCAAAATCTTCAATTGTGGTAAAACCTTATAAACCTTTACTACAAAAGAAATAAAATCAAAGTTCGTAGCACTTAAATTTCTAAAGCATTTTTAATTTTTTTTTTTGAATTCTGCAAAAATATCTCAAGTTTCAAAAAAATTACATAGAAAAATGTGAAATAATAAAAATCTTTAAAAGTTAATCAGTTAGTTCCTGTAGATCTGAAATGAGGTAAAGAAAAATATTTTTTTGAGATTTAAGGTAAAGCTTTAAGTGCATATCTGAGTTATCAAAAATCCCCTATTTCTTAAGTAAACTTTACATATTCTTTAAATTTTAAATTAATGATTTAATTCTCCGTTTAATAATTGAAAATCGATAAAATTAATAAAATTGACCGTAATCAAGATTTTTCATAAACTGATAATTTGGTTTTTTTTTCTGCTATTCATATATCATAATATGTCTTTGTACAAAATTTTTTTTTTAATATATTGGCATAACGAAATTATAAAATATTATAATATTGAAAGCAATAATAAATAATTTCTTATCACAAATAATATTTAATGCTCAGTCGAAAGAAATAATTTCATAAAATATTTTCAAAACTTATTTACCCGTTCAGTTATTTAATATTATATGTATGCATTCTTTTTTTAACTATTTTCACTGGTTATTTTATATAATGTATTACATATAACAAACTAATTCTTAAAAATAAAATACATAAATAATGTTTATTGTGTGAAAAAAAGGAAGCTGTGATTACATAAAAATTAAATCAATGTTTCTAACAAAACTCCTTAAAAAAAATGTACGTATTTATTTATTATATATATAAACATTTAACATCAAAAAAATGTACTATAAAACTTTTTATTCTTTATGTCCTATATTTCCTCGCTTAATAACGATACCATGAATATAATATTGTGATAAGAATATGAAGTTATATATTTAATTTTAAAATCTCGACCTCTGATAGATAATCATATTATTTAATTATGTTTTATTTTTTATTAAATTAACTAAAGCTACAACAGGAATTCGTCTTTTTAGCCGTTTTATAAAATGCCTTACTTTGAACTGATAAATTTTCTGATTTAACTACCAAATCTTCAAGTTTTTCACCTCGATTCAAAACTGCAGCTATCGTATCTTTCAAAATAATATGTGTTTCATCTAAATCATTTTGCATTTTTGTTAATGCATCAGCCTCCTTTGGATCTTGATATTTTGCTAAAAAATTAGGCAATGAGGTAAAATTAATATTTGTTTCATTTCCATTTTCCCATTGATCACTGCTGACTGTTGCAGAAAATTCATCTAAAACTTTTGTAATTAATGTATGGGCAACACGTTGAGGATATTCATGATCAGCGATTAACACACCTCCCAAGTTATCATGCCGAACATATACGTGACACATATACGCATCTTGCTTAATTGATTGACGAGTAGCTGGATTAGTTCTCTCCACTATTGTCTGCGAAGCAAACCTACAAAAATAAATTATAAAACATCCTAAGTTAATAATAATTTTATTTAGTAAGTAAGAATTTTATAAAGAAAATGATTAAATATCTACATACATACACCTACATATTTAAGCATAGTTCCATATAGCTAGACAATTTAACTTACGTCATAAATTCCTGTATGGCTCCGCGTTGAAAAAATGAAAATGACTGTAAGTCATATGTGGATTTTAAAGGTCGTGCCACAGTTGGAGTTTTATAAAAAACAATCATAGCATATAATTTAACCATGTTTTAAGAAAACAAAAAAAATATCCAAAATAATTGTTAAGCTTCTTTCAAAATAAGACTTTGATGAGTCAACAAAAATATTCTTTTGTTTTTTCTTTATGCTAAATTTCCCAGGCACCAAATAGTTTCTCTCTTTTCTTTTAATTATAATTTGATATAATAGATATTATTTTATAATGTAGTTTATTATTCTGTTATAAAATATTTTTATTATGTTTTTTAACTTCTTTTTTAAATTTCTCCCTTTAATAATTTTATATCAAAAACTTTAATTCAACTGATAATGGGATGCATATTACTTATGACAAAAGTAAAATGTCAATCTGACTTAGTTTAGTTGGTGTTGTCGTTTATCTACTAAATTTTTATTTGACATTTCCGAAATTGTACTAAAATAAAACCAAATCGTACTTCGAAATACATTTTTTCAAATTCTTCAGATCTAATTGTAATAGTCTCAAAACACCATATGGCACGCTTTCAAATAATGCTTAAGATTGCTTAAGTTTCCGCTAAAACTTTAAGATCTTGAAATGAACTTCAATAGACTTAAGGGGCTTGCTTCATACGGTTATGTGTAAGTTGACGTAACACTATTATATTTGGGTATATTACATTTTATACACTCGTACAAGAAGTTAAGTCAACTTAAGCTTCAATAAGTTTTTTTATTGTTAATTCTTTCTACCAATTTGGGATTTGCATTTATTGGATTTCATTCAAGCGCATATTTAAAAAATTTATTACTAAAATAAAAAAATTATATATATACTTGACGTTTCAAGTGAGTGAGGCAAGTTGAACAACTGAACGACACAAAATCAAAAAACGACAAAAAAAAACTAGACAATTTAATTTTTTGACCTTATTATTTAGATTTGCCGCATTTTCTAAACAACTTTACAGGTAAAATACATGACGGATTTTTAAGTTTCAACTCATTTGAAAATAAAAATTAAGTTTTAAATTTAGTACATTCCGCATATTTTAACTTACTAAATTTATACGACTTGAGTTGACCACTGTGTATTTAAAATTACTATTGTGTTTGCGATTTGTTTGAATGTATTTTGAAGAAATAAAGAGAAAAAATCTTTGAAAGCAAAAGAGAAGCATTTTATACAGAAAAAAGAAGAAAACGAATAAAACTTGTGAAAAATGAAATAAAAAAAACTCTTTTTACACCAAATAAAAAAGTAAGAGAGCAAAAGAATTAAAAAAAACCTTATAAAAACATCGTTTCATTCATGGAAAAAGCAAAAACGAAAAATTGCTTTGTGTGAACAAAAATATTGTACATAAATATTTAAAAAAAATTTTTTTTTTGAATTTTGTTTAATTTTAGTTTACCACTCTATTAACTTTTACGAAATCTTATATTTTTATGAAATTCAAAAATACATTTGATATACACACATTTTATATTTTATTTATTTTATTAATATAAAATGCAATTATTTTATCACGTGCAATGGTAAAGATGAAAAAACTAACATTAAGTCTTAACATATCACTGTTGTACACCAATTAATTAGCTTCAATTCTCTTTCACCGGTAAAGTAACAATTGGGATCGTTCACCGGCGATTTCAAAATTATTTTGTCCAATTATGATAGCGTTCTTAACTCAAAACAGCACTAAAATAAAAACAGCATGGGTTGTTTAGCCGTTTATTTTATAGTTAATTAATACAAAATTGTCAATTACATGATAATATATGTGCAAACACTTATAACCAAAGAGTATATCTACAATAAGTAGTTCGACTCTCCGTTTACATCACACTAATGCAATCACTCACCAATCTTTGTATACAAAAAATTCCCTTAGTTAAAAGAGTTAAGCAGTATATCTTCTTATTTTCATTTTTATACACATAAGAATTTTTGGGAAAGGGAAAGGGTACGCAATAGATGTAAATCTGTTTTTTTATAATGTATTTTGAAAGGCGACACTTTATAATTTGCTCGTATATAAAGTATAGGGAAAAATATTAAGAATTTTAAAAGCGACACAATAATATATGTAATTCATTCCAGTACAAGGTGGCAAAAAATGTGTATTATATTATAAAAGCGAAGAAGGAAAAAAGTGTTTAAAAAAATTATTATAGTTTATATAATATAATTTTAAAAATAATAAAAATAAATTTTGAAAAGACGTACAATATTAAAAAAAAATTTAAATAGTTGTGAAAAAAATATTTTTTTTATAAAAATGGGTAAACATTATTTGAAGTGTTTGGGATGAAAAAAAGAACACGAAAATTTCATTTGTTGCCATAAGATGTGAAGAGGTAAATATGTACTTTTGAAAATATTTTAAATATTTAGTGTTAGGCATTTGTAATTAATAAATAAAATAAATAAATTATCTTCAAATTTTTTATTTTTATTTCAATCTTAATAAATTTAGAACATATTTCCCATGAATAATATATTTCCCGTAATAATTATATTTCATAAAGTAATCAGTATGCATACACCTTTTTTTCTTTATAAATTATTTTATTTCTATGTCACTGTGATATAGTATAGTAGATACTGTGTATCTACTGTACCAGGTACATGCACGTGTACATTCATACATGAAATTTCAAACTCTTTTGCTTTCATACATTCGAATTTTTTACCATTCATTCGAAGTTTTATAAAATGAAAAATAAATTTTGTTATTATCAAAATAAAAATAACAAAATTTTTACCTAACTTAATTTAATTTTATTTTAGTTCAATGTTTTTGATACACTTGTTTGTTTACAATATTTTGTTTCTTTCTTGCCTACACAACTCTTGCCTCTAACGGAATGGAACGAGTCGAATTACTTATTAGTAGATATACTTTGCTTATAACAACCATAGTTGCACCTGCCCAATTATGTATTAATGTACCGTTATATTAAAATGTTGAATTCAGTTAACGCGCTACAACAAAAACTTAATTATAAAATTAATTACCCACATTGTGTGTATGTCCTACAACTCTATTCTTATGCAAAAAACATTAAAATAAAATTTAAAGTAGTAATTGAAAATAAAATTAGTGCCAGAATCTATATACAGGTTATCAGTTATAAAATATTTTATTTATCATAAAATATAATAGATTTTTTTTTTTTTGTTCCAAGAAATGAATTTTTCCTACCAAAAGCTGTCATTTTATATTCGTTAAATTCAGAAAAAAAAAACAATAACAAAATACATGCAAAAAAAACTTCGTAAATTTTCGTTTTTAATTTTTTGTTTTTGTTTTTAATTTGGTTTTTGAAAAAATGTTCATATTTTGTTTTGAATTTTTGTCTCAAAAGCAAATAGATAGCCGAGCGAACGGTTACGTTTGGAAAATTTTTAAAATTCCGTTTTAGAATATTTTTTTAACGTTTTGAAAAAAAATTAAAGAAAAAAAAAAAAGTTAAATAATTTTTTTTTGTACTTTGTTCTAAACAAAAATTCTGAATACATAAAAAACACAATTTTTTTATAATTTTAATAGTATACATATATACATACATAAATAATAATATCTTTTATAATTCAGTATACATATTGTATGTATATATTACAGTATATTGGTATACAAGTATGTGCAATTTATATTTTAAATAAAGGAGAAAAAAAAGAATAACAAAAAGCAAATCATTTGAACTTTTTTAGTTTTTGTTGTTAAAACGTTGAATCAAAGTGTTTTTTTTTGTTTTTATAAATGTATGTATATTTTTAAGTGTGTGTATGTGCATTGACATGATAATAAAGAAAATGTAAACAAAAAAGTGAACAACAGAAAATAGAAGAAAAAAAAAAACAAATTTTTTTTTATAAAATAATTTAAAATTATTATTGTTCTTATTGGAGGTATGTATGTGTGTATGTTTTTAAACATGTTCACCACAGTAGAATGTAGAAAACTAGGAAATTTTTTTACATATTTATTATTTTTTTTTCTTTTCTTGTGAAAATAAAAATTAATAAAATCAATTAAGTGAAAAAATGAAATTTATTCGATTTATATACATACATATTTATTTATACATATTCATATAATTATATGTATGTTTGTATGCAATATGTATCTATAGCTTATATGCATACATATGTATGTACATTTTTTATGAAATTCTAAATTTATTAAATTACTTTGAAAATGAAACAATTTTCTCATTTTGTTTCCTAATACAAAAATAACTGTCAACATTTCAACATTATCATATGTTTTACTGATATCGCACTATGCACATACTTATTTATAACCACATACTCATATATGTACATTTGTATGTGCATTCGTTTTGTGCTTATTTATGTACATACATACATATATTCACTAATTTTAATTTTGGATAAAGAACACTTGTTAAAAGAATCAGAATTTCTCGCGATTCTGATTTGTATTTGTTTGTTTAAATTTTTACATAGTTTACTTACTCTTTCAGCAGAAATAAATTATTTTAATTGCAATTTAAAATTTTTTGTTTTGGTTACTTAAATGTATGGATTTAAATAAAATAATTACATGCATACATACATGCATTCATACGCACATACTTATATATACATATATGTATGTATTTTTATCTTTAATTTTGGTATTTTTTTTGGTTTTGAAAGATATTCCGAAAAATAAATAAATTTTGTTAGATAAATCAAAGAAAATTTACCTACATACATATTTATATTGTATATATAATTATAGACATACATTAGTGCATATGTACTTACATATATATGTATATACTTATGTATATACATACATAATATAAATTTTCTAACATGTGCATCAATACATAACTTGTCAATTTTTTTATTTCATTTTATTTCTTTTTTTTTTTTAAATTTCGTGTATTTATCGAAAAAAAGAAAAAAAAAAACAAATCTATAACCACAAAATTTTATTATTTCTAATATACTTAACATACAAACATAGAAATATACTTAATATGTATACCCAGTTATAAATAAAATATGTATATAGATACTATTTTTGCAATCATATCGAAATGCAAATTGGCACATGTGTATGAATGAAAGTGCATATGCATATTATAATTATGTACATATCTGCTTATATATATATTTATATATCCAAATATATATACATAATATAACATCATGTGTGTATGTACATTTACATTTTCCGATAGTTCTAATTTTTCTAATATAACATTTTTTATCTAAAAATTCTAACAGAATTTAAAATGTTATTTTATTTACCTAGATACATACATATGTACATATGTACATATATCATATGGGATAATATTTATATAAAATATATTTTAATATATTAAGGGTTATACAAAAATTTTGACAGTAAACATATAATTTTTTTTTTGATAAACAATAGCATCATTGTGAATGATTTCAAATTTGCTCAGGTACCTATGTACATATGTATATTTAATATGATTTTTTAAAATTTCTTATCACTCAATTTGAAAGATCTACTTAAATGTGTTAAGTAAAATTGAGCAGCATATTTCCCAAATATAAAAATATTTCCCAAATTAGAAATATTAGAAATATTTATATTCCCAAATAGAAATATTTCCCAAATATAATCTTTCATGAAATATAATAAATTTTTTGAATTTTATAAACTATGATTATTGAGAATGAAATTTATTGTTTTAATGTATAAATGTGTATAGTTAAACACTACACAAGTGCTGTAGCGGAAGCAATGATAACAAAAGTGTATTCAGTGATTTACAATAATTAAATAAATAATTATTAAGTAAATAATCATTAAAAGTAATGATTATTATTTTTATTCACATATTGTAGGTCTTTACCTATTAGAAATTAATTATTTCGCTATTATTAGGAATAAAATATAATTTACTTGATATCTATGGCATTATTTAGGTGTGTATGTAAGTATGTACCTACAATATCCATACATGTTTGACAAGTTTGTTTGGTACTTATTCACCTGTTTTTATTACACAGAATACTTGTGTAAAAGTATGCTGGTCATAACTTACCTTATTTCAAAATGTATTTATTAAATTTAAAATTTTTTTTTTTTTAAATTTTATTTTTAAAAATAAAAATCGGAAACTAATTAAATAGAACGGTGGAAATTAAAAATTATATATGTACATACATATATGCATGTACATAATGTACCTATTTAATTATAATTTTTTATTTTTTTATATAGGTATTTAGAGCTTTTACTTTATTTCGAAAAAAAAAATAAAAAATTTATAAAGAACATTCTAAAATATAAAAATTAGTTACGTTTTTGTATTAATGCCCTTTTACTATAGGTACATGCAAATTAATTATTATCGTAAATTAAATTTACGGTAAAGTCTAATGACTGTTAATGATATCGGACTGAAATTATTTGATTGATGATCATCAGACTTAAGATGTTCGTTGTCATAAACTTCCACAAAATAAAAATTTCTGTCATTTTATATTTTAAAAATCTTACAGTGACAGTCACGTTCGGACAAAAATTGATATTAAACAAGTTCTATATGCTATACGAATTTCATTAGACTCATAATTAAATTGTAGATTAAAATAGTTAGAATTCTAAAATTGTTTATGAATTCCATTAATTGTGGCCTTTAATTAAATCTAAACAAATAATTAAAAATCTGGACATTTCTTTTTTGTTTTCATGATAAAAATGCATCGTGCAAAGAAACAGTTTACCATTCTGCTGCAATTTAGTTATATATGTATATATATCATGCTCATATTTATGCAAGTACGTATGTATGTAATTTAAACATACATATCTACAAACAATATTTAGTTTTTGTTTATATCTCGAGTTTTTATGAGAAAAATTAAAAAAGTATATACGTTTGCCTATGTTGTGTATACTTACTTGTGTAGTATGTACAGACTTTTATATTGCAATCAAGCAATTGAACTGATTTTTTTTTTGTTCTTTTTTATTTTATATGATTTTTTTTTACTTATGCGCCTGGAACTAGGCGCGCAAAATGTATCTGTGCATATTTTTTTTTTTTTGTTGTTATTATCTTTTATTACAATTTTTTTCTCCATACATATTTTATATTCATATGTACTTGCATACATACATAATATATTTTTATACATACTTATATTTTTTAAAAATAATTTTCTTGACCTCAAAAATAAAATAAAACAACAAAAAAAAAGTTAATTTTTTACTTCTTCTCTTCTAGGTATAGGATAGGATATTTATGCACATATAATGGAAAAATGCTAAAATAGTGGAAAAATAATAAAAAAAACTACTTTCGAAGAAATATAACAGCGATAATAAAAAAAAAGACAAAAGCAAAACTATACGATTGAAAAACAAGTGGAGAAAACAACAACAACAACTACAATAGCAAAGAACGAAAAGAAAAACAACTGTTTTTTTTGCTTTGTTTTTGTTTACCTATGAGCCTATAACGGATATATGAACATATACCTACACAGAAACATAAAAATATCATAAATATATTTTGTAGGTAGCCGCGGCGAGATTCAAGAAAAAAGTGAGTAAGCTCTTAAATTTTATTTTGTTTTTAAATCAAATTAAAAAGTGCAAACAGAAAATTATTTTGAAAAAAAAAATTTTGTTTTTTATAAATTTTTATTATAATTTATAATCGCAATTACAATTATTAAGTACACATAATATTACAATATTCATACATACATACACACATTTAGGTATGTTTTTTTGTATATGCATTGATACAGAAAATGTGCAGCTCATTCTGGTTTTTTAAATAAATCTCCTAATAAATCTATTGCATTATGTTTGAATACATGCAGCAAAAGAAATTAACAGGGGGTAATTAAAAAGTCACAAATTTTTCTAAATGAGTATGCAAATTTCTTGTTAAAATAAAAATTAATAAGAACAAATTTGATATACAAGTATATACATGTGTCTATTTCTGACAGTTCCTGCAATAATTATTTACTCAATGTATTTTTTAGAGATTAGAAAAAAAAGTTTATACCTAAAAGTTTATAATATTAACAGAGTTAAATTTCATTACTTTAAAAATGTAATGAAATTTAACTCTGTTAATATTATACAATGTGGATTATGCTGGCAATAATAAATTTTCTTACATTCTTCAATTAATTTTCCATTTCTTATGTAAGTACGGGTTTAGAAATCAAATATAGAGTAAAGAGCACGAATCAACGCTAAAATATTATAGTGTATTTAATTTAGTTTTGAACTTAAAAAGTTGATTTTTAAAAATTTTCTCGTTACTGTCAATAATTTTTTTCAATTTACCTATTCATACATATGTACATATTTCTTTCTTGACCAACACTGTCAAGTACAAATTTTGCGATTACGAAAATACTGTAACGCGCATCAAATTAATTTGAAAAACTGATCAACGTTTAGTGATTAGTCACAAGATTCAGAGAATTAAATTAAAAAAATCATGCCAATTATGGAGTATTATATTTTTTTAATTAATTATGTATGTAAATGTTAAAATATATTTTAGAATTCCCGTAAAGCCATATACAAGTAAACTAAGAAATGAATTACTTAATTAATTTAATTGCTGACATTTATTATAATATATACTTGTATTGATTAAATTAAATTATTACTGAAGACAAAAATTTTCAAATTCAAATTTAAATATTTTATTAATTATAAAAAAATTAAAATTTCCAACGATTTTGTTAATTCACTTGAAATCCTTCCAATAAATTTAATTGCACAGATACATAATATATGTACATATGTATGTGGCGTTAAACTCAAATACCATTTTACCACAATCTAGATATAACATTTTAATATTGAATTGCATTTTTCGACTTTACATATAAAATTCGTAAAATTCGGACATAACAATAAAATGACATTTTTCAATTCAATTATCAAATAAAAATTTTGTTTTGTACTGATTCTGATAACGTTACTGTCATCCTTCAGCTGTGTGTATGTATGTACATATTAAGCATGCAGAAATTTTTCTGCATTCGAAATATTTACATATCATCTGCATATTTTGCACGAATATAACATAAATTACGTTAAATTTTAATCGACCTGGACAATTGAAGTCAGGGCGGCATTTCTAGCGTTTATTTTAAAATTATTATTTTTTTTTTTTTTAATATATTCGCTTCATTTGAGCTGAGCCTCAACTCAAACTGAAATTGTTAATATGAATTTTAAGTTTGAATATGTACATACATACATACATACATAATGCAAAAAAAAATTTACACAATCCAAATGAAGAAAATCCAAAAAAAAAAAGCAAAAAACGAAGCAAATTTGTTTTTTTTTTTTTTTTTGGTAGATTTGAGAAACAATTTTTAATTTATAAAATCGAAAAAAAAAAAAAAAAAAAAAAAGAAATTAATGAACGTCAAAAACAAAAGAAAGGCAAAAAACAAATTTTATTTTTCTTGTTTTTTTTTATATATTTTCAAAATCCCGAGCAAAAAACGAAAAATAATGAAAAACCAAAAAAAATTAATGGAATTTCATCTTATTTTTCATTTTTTCATGTTTTTTTTTCTGTTTTTTGCCTCTATGATTGTTTTTTTTTTGTATATTTTTATTTTAATTTTTTTTTTGGTTTTTGTCATGAATGTTGCTTTAACCATTTTTTTTTTCTTCTTGTTATTAATAACGAAACCTTTTTTTTTCGTTTTGTTTATTATGCTTTTTGTTTTTGTTTTTTTTTTTTTGAGAATTTTGACCTTTTTAAAAATTTTTTATTCAATTTTTTTTTCCTTTATAAGCGTTTCTTAAATAATGAAAATAAAATAATATTATACATACATACGTATACGTATGTAAATATGTATATATATAAATATAAATTACATCCACATAAAAATGAAAAATAAATATAATTTGTTTTTTTTTTTTTTATGGTAAGCAAAGTATAAAATTTTTTTTTCATACATAAATTTAGGGCAACGTACTCACACATAGAAGGAAAAAATTTAATACAGAACTTGGGTTTTTATTATTATTATTTTTTTTTTAACTATACATATACTAAAAAACATAATGGTACAAAGTAAATATGAAAAAAAAAATATATATAAGTATGTAAACATGTGTGCATACTATATTTTTGTCAGTATATATTTTGTGTTTTTTAAATTAAACGAAAAATGAAAAAAAAAAAATAATAACAACAATTTATATTGGAAGGGTTTCGAAATCAAAAAAAAAAAAAAAATTGTCCACAATTTAATTTTAATAACAAAAAAACAAGAAAAACGAAAAAATTGTAAATTGAATAAAATGTGCTGAACGCTAAAAAAACACTGTAAGAGTTTGCGTGTTTGTCTACTTTAAAATATTACGTACGCTGTCAGTTGGCATAGAAAAAGTAGAAAGAGTAAAGAGAGGGGGGACATGAAAAAAAGAGAGTCATTTGAAAAAAATTTTTTTTTCGTTATTTAAATAAAAAAATTAAATAAAATAAAATTGGAATTGAATAATAAAAAAAAAAATTTTTTTTTTCTATTTTTTTATTTTTTTTTTTTGTTGATGTTACCATATTTAGTTTTTTTTTATTGTTTTAATTTAAACATTATTATTGATAAAAAGAATTTAAAAAAAAAATTTTTTTAATTTATTAAAAATGTTTGTTTTTTAAATAGATAGTCAAATATTTTATAAAACTATAGCAGTGCTATTATGAACACGTTAAAGAGTTTATTAAAGCTCGGCCGTGTTTATTTTACACACTCATATTTATGTACATATGTACATCAAAGCTCAAAAAAATTCCTGAATTTGACATTTAACTAAAATGTTACAATTTATGTGCAATGAATTCCAATTTCTACCAGTAACATACGGCAACAAAATCGCCTACGAACAGCCACCACAACACATTACGCCCCTTACGCCCAACATTTTTCATTAACCTCATCAGGTACCCTCACAGATATTCTGACAACTACTTCAAATCCTCTAACTCGAACCGTTTCATATATATATATTTACTTCTTTTCGAGATCAGGTGCGGTCATTTGCAGAGCACTGAATTACAATTACTAAAATTACTACACTGTAAATTTTAGATTGTATATTGAAGACTATCTAATGAACTTATTGAAATTTCGAAAATTATTGAGCAACTTAAGAATGTGTACCAAGATGAACAGAAAAAAAGTATAATTATGTAGAAGTTTTATATGCAGAGAGACTGTGTCTTATTGCAATACCTAAATACGTTTTATAAATTTTTTGAATTTCCATTTTTAATTGAAACTATAATACTTTTTTAATTTTTCTAATAGAATAATTAATATTTCAAACAAAATTATATTTTCAGTTGAGAGCAAATTTACTATAATATAATACATACTTACAATTACATACCCATACAATAAATACGAAATTGTGTTCTCTCTATGCCTCGGCATAGCGAGAACACAATGCGAAAGCGAATATTAAAGTTCGTTTTTAAAGCAATGCATTACAAATTAGACTGTTTATAATACATATATGAAAAGATAAATGCACAAACATACATACATAATACTCGTATATGTACATATGTACGTTATTTTTCAATTAGTCCTTTTTGATAAAAATTTGTTTAGAATCCGTCCAAACGAATCCGTTAAAATTATGTTCTTAACGTTAAAATTATGTATTTACTCATATATCTATGTTCATTTAAACTATCCACATACATATATTTGTAGATATTAAGTAAATGTACACTTACGCTCAAACAAACATATATACATATACATATGTACACACAGAATAGTAATTTTTGAAAAATATTAAAAAAAAAGTTGTTGTTTTCACTTTGAAAGTGACAAAAAAAACATATTTGATCTTAGAGAAAAATTTTTTGTATCTTGAGATACTATTTAATAAAATGGAAAAAACACACACACACACACATTCAACCATACATATTGACGCATACTATAACTGAAGCTTTTCTTTCTAAGTGATAAATAATTTTTTTACAATTGAAAACAATTCGTATGAAAATGCAAAGAGAAAAATTTTTTTTTTTTTTTTTTCATTTTTCCATTTTTTTATGTTTTTTAATGACTCATTTTGAAATATTGATTTTAATTTTTATATCTAGCTATTGTGCTGCGCCATTAAGCTGTTGTTGATTTTTTTTTTTATAAAAAATTTTTTTATATTTTATATTTTTTAATTTTTTTTCGTTGAATTCTTATTTCCGGGATTTTTTTTAATCATTTTTTTTTCTTCTATGCTTTAAGTCGTGTTGAATGTTTGTCAGTTCTAAAACCAAAAATAAAAAATATACATACTTACTTATGTATATACTCGTACATACATACATAAATACAAATTCATGAAAAGAACAGAAATATGAGACAAGATTTATTTGTACATAACAATTTAAAAAATATAAAAAAAAAGTAGCTAAAATGTTGTAATTTTAAAAATATTTTTAGTACATACATACATACATACATATACATATGTACTTAGAAACTCAAATTATTAGCAAGAACAATTTGAAAAATAACAAATAAA